GGGCCACTAAATGATGAGCTGCCGTGTGTGTCATGTCAAACTTTAACTTTCACTGCAAATGATTGCTGTAGCGAACAGAGTTTGTAATTAATGTGTTGTGGTATTAGGCACATATTTCAAAAGACATTAATAATAATCGTTGTGATCTATGATACATATATCCTTTGTAGGCTGAATATTATTCATTTTGAATGTAGAACACATTTATCAGGTCTCCGATTTTAAATGAAATATGGAGGTTCTTAATTTAAAGTGATTGTTATTGTTTGTTATAACAGCAATAAGCTATATATATGATTTGATTCTTGTGCATAATTATATTAAAAACTAAACTCGAATGATGTATGTTTTATAAATCACATTTTATAATTAATCAATATTGATAAGAGTATGAGAATTTCGTAGATCTCTTTTATATAAGGTTAATTAGACTCAGGGTACTCTTGATGCTGGGTTATATTCAATTTCAACCATAAGAATTAAGTCTTGATTTTATCGGCACCTACACCAGTTCTGCGGCCATTTGCCAAAATAAATTCTAAGACATAGGCTGTGTTTGTACTTCGCTACACCAAAATGAATTATTAAAATGCCCGTAGCTATGAATAAAGTAAATTAAACGACAAGTTCGAGTTGTGGCAGCGAATTTATTGAACGAATTTCAGAATCCATTAACATGATCGTAAACATCCAATTTGTTATTTAAACACGAACACACTAATTATAATGTAAAATGAAACTATCAAACTTTAATGATGTCAGTTTGTTTAAAGGGTAATTATTAAATGACTTTTAAATAATTAACTGATTTTGTACAGTTGGAAAAGCTGCATTTAATGTGTGCAATTGCGGAATTTTATGAACAAATGAACAATAAAATTATTTGACTGAGTAGTGCTCTGGTTTTATTTTGCGATTGACCGTAACGTGTAGAAAACATTGACAGTGGAGATCAGCTTAAAATAGAACTCTGTTGAAGAATATATTTCTTTTGTGCATGTGTTTGTCAGTGAGCTCCTCCTTAACGGCTGGACCGATTTTAATGAAATTTCTTCAGGTGCATTCAAGAATGGTTTAGATTTACAATTTGCAGTCGGTATCTAGATTAGTTATCTTTACTGGAAATAATTTATATGGCAAAACAACGTTTGCCGGACCAGCTAGTATTACTATAAAGTAATTTTAAATGAAAAAACTCAAATAGTTCTACAATAAATGGTATTGATATTAAATAGGCTGTGTATTATTGGCCTATGGACAGTAACGTTATCCAAATATTATATGAGTGTACTGTGATTTCAAACATGCACAAAATACTTGTAGCAGAAGCACACACATTTAGATGCCAATTATAAGTATGGTGCCGTTATACAATTCCACGTCCACATATTACGGGGCTGTTTGCGGCAATTACGTTGTGATGTCTATTTAGAAAAAAAAAGATCGTGATCGTCAGAACTACCTCTTTTTATAAAAACTGAAAGTTATTCTGCGCATGTCCGCAACAGAGATTGGAACGATCGGCGACTATGAAGTTTGGATAATCGTGTCTTTAGAAGATTGCAGGTAGCAAAGGTGTTTAAAGCGTTAATTTTTATATTATTCTTCTATTTAAATGTAAATTATATTATTTCGTTTTTGTAAATTAATTTTTTTGTCAGTATGATTATGTGAATATTGGAATTATCCAAAAAAACTGTCTTACTCGCCTTTGCCTTTCTATGTGTATCTCGTTTTCGCATCTAGAACTTTGACGTTTAGTATTAACGAAACTGTCTGACTACTCAGGAAACCTCTTTTAGTATCTACCCAAGTGACATTATAAAATTCAGCATTTATATTATAAGGAAAGTAGAACTACCATTTATTAAAGTTTCGGGGTTTTCGTCCGGTAGGGACTACCGTCGTACTAAGTCTAGCAATGAACGACGAGAATTTTTATATTATGCTGAAGATATTTTTATGGAAGTTGTACGTAATAATAGTTCTAACCTAGTTCTTGTCTTAGGAAGATACCATTTCCTTTTATAGAGTGCTCAAAGTTTTTTTTTCGAAATCAATTTCATTTTTTATTGATCCATGTTCCTTCTAGCTTTATTTACCAAATAGGTAATATACATATCTACTCGTTTTGAGTCATACAACTACGCCAATGTTTTGATCCTGGGACAGTGACAATTTTTATTATTATTCACGCATTCACCTAACCTGTGTTAACCATAAACTTTTTTTAAAACATCTGATATGCTCGTGTCAAGCGTTACAAGTATTCCAGGGCTCAAATTCAGAAGGCAGGTGTACATAATGCGTGTTTAAGGATAACTTGAATGAGTTAATAATAGCATCGTGTTATTCAAATTAAACCTGCAAAAATTATGATTTATGTTTATTTTCAAGCTTGCATAAAATAATTTAATTAAAACTTATAAATCCAATTGTATGAAGACCTTCATATTTTAGACTGAATTCTTAATTTGCTAATGAGACTCGACCACGCCTTGAAGTGACTTTATGTCACATTTATATCCTGTCAGATCAGATAAACGATCTGTGATTTCATACGAACAAAAAACAAGTAAACAAAATTAATTTCATTTATTTTAAATTTTTTAATACATCTAATATGAAGAGCATTAAAAATACAAAATTTAATGGAACATTAATATACATTCAGACTGCTCCATCGTAAAGTCCAGTCGTTTCTGTTTTGTGGAAATTAAAATCTAAAATAGGAATACATATAAAGTTGAAAGAGTTGCTTTAATATGCACGCTTTGATAAGCTGAGCCTTTATGCAGTCCGCCGTGCACTAATAGAGTCGTCAAACTAGAGCGGAGCTCTGACGAGTCTTTTCAACAGATTTGCGACTCGACTGAGTTTCTTTTTGTATTTAGATCCAAGTAGAGTTTCACATAGAATAGGATTAACAGCATTTAAAATTTTCCATTAATCCACACTGATACGTTGATTATGAATACAGATTGTCTCAGTTTTAAATAATTCACATGAAACGTATTTAATAATTAAGTCCATCTAAAACTGCAATTTTTAATTACTCAATTATCAGATTATTTTTCTTCGTTTATTTAAATTTTTACTGAATCTTCATCTACTATGTTTCTTTGTAACTCCATTAATTTGAACCCCCTAAAACTTATCTAAAATATCGGTAACGTGTCATATTATGTCGCGGTCTCGCACATGTGTAACACCATCCTATTTATATCTGTCACGAAGACATCACGCATTTCGTTTTTAAGATTTGGAAATCCGTTGTATGAAAGAAATGGAGACCTCAATCTTCAATGTCTTAGTGTTGGTAGTGGCATTCATCTTCTGGTGCCTATGGTCTCCCGTAAACGATTAAAGACCAGATGATCCGTGAGGTTGATGCCATTTTCACTACAATAAACCCAAAAAAATAGCTTCTATCTAATAAAAACTATTACTACAACTGATACTAACTTACAAACATATATCTAAATACTAATATGTATTTCTTATCAGCCGCCATGTTTTATCTACATTCACGGAGGAATTATGAGTTCGTAAAGAACTATACCTTACTATAATGTTTGTTTGGTAGGCTTATTATGGGCGAACACGAAGGCACAGTATTTTGCTTTGATGAGGAAGAAAGACGTTTCCGCTTCACGGAGCGTTAACTGATCGTGCACGTTAGTGAGGTGACATTCCAGCAAACACAAATACCTACATAAATGGATTCACAAACTTTGAAAATTAAGGAATATTCGGTTTAGGAATTTATAGAAACATTTCAATATTAAAAGAGAATTGAGAAGCAATTTTCGTACGATTGGCTGGATATGTTTGTAGCCCAGTTTTTTTTTTTAAAATGACATAGTTTCTTGTACGTAATTTGATTTTAAGAAAAAAGAACGGGTTCAATTATTATTTAAGAAAATGCAATAAATAATTCACCAATACTAAAATGTTAAAATAAAGTAGTGAAATAAGATATAAATCAAACACTGCATAGTACAATTTCATATTTAATTTGTGCCCTGTTGTGTTACGAAATTCTTCAAATTATTTAATTCCGTGTTATACTCAGTGCTTAAAATTTAACAAGAGAGCGGACTGCTACGGGGAATTTTAATTAAAACACAGTACGGTATGCAATAAAATCAAAATAGCTATTCACATTTCACACAGATGTCACTTTATTTATGAAATATGTTCCTAAAAATTCTTCTGAGATTACTTGCTCACGTTTTCAATTGATTTAGTGAATGTTTATAATTGCTGACCATGTGAAACGTCAAGCAAAGGAATGTTTGCGGCCTAATGGCAGGGACACATTGCTAAAAATATTGGATCGCTCTTTCAAATGTGGGTCGAATGGGAAGCTTTAATTTAGTTGTCGACTAGTAGATAGTGCTAGTTAGATTCTTCTAGAAGTATTGACTTTCTTACATATTTATGTTGTCGACCCAAATATATATATAAATCTGATTTTAGTGAAAAACAGAATTTGAGTGAATTTGTGACAGTCTATTGTTAATACACTTTATTTTCGAATTCTGAGATAAAACATCAGCTCTATTAGTACTGTAAAGGTAAATGCAATATGCGACCTAAGAATTTTTTTATCAGTAATATTGCATTTTCGATCATAATTAATCATTGTCCTTTGAACTGTAAGAATACAAAAGATCACAAACGACTAAAATATTTATGGACACACGTTATCTATGTGATCTATAGATCATTTAATATTGTAATTTGTAAATATTGTTTTTGTATATTGCATTCCGTAATGTTACTGACGAGGATACCGAAGACCGAGAGAAGTAGAGGGTAGAGTAAAGAAGCTAACCCCAACACCATGTGGGATAAATAGCTAGGAAGACAGGGAGAAAGATAATATTGTAGTTTTAGTAGCAATGAACCATTAAAGATGTTTCTTTGTTTAGAAAAAAAAAAACGAATGTTTTTGTTCGACATGAAAACAAATTGACTTACCTTCTTCATAAAAGACATCACGTTGGTTGGTAACATGTTGCGGTCTGTTCTTGCTTCGTCACTACAATATCACATCATCACCCCACTGGGAACACTGTACAAGCGACTTGATTCAGTCAGGGATGAGAACTTCACCAATAAAGCACGACATTTTATTCACTGATTTTGAATCTACTTTAAGGATTTCAGTCTGTTAATTATCTGCGTGTACCTGAAATGAGTAATACTGTTTTAGAAAAGAAGTAATAATGGAGCGACAGCGTAACAAGCTCCCGACTGATCTAGCGAAGCAATCGGGAGAGAATGAGGCTATATTCGTGAGTAGGCGTTCAACAGGTTTGTACTTTGCTTAGTCGGTTAAGGTTCTTCTTTCAGATTACACTAGACGGGACGGAACGTAGCAAAACTATTTTCAGAGATAATCACATTATTTACTATTATTGTTAGCCTTGATTACATGTAGATATTCGTCATGTGATTTACGTAATCGTAAAGTTTGGATGATATTGGGTAGTTCGATATTTGGTTTATATGTTATTGACAATTAATCACAATAAATTAGTAATAGTGCAATGATTTTATAGCGAAATGTAATTTTAACTACTCCTTCTATCGATTTTTGCTAAAAAATTACCATTTATTTTATTATTACACAAAATTTATAAGCTTAATCACACTTCGTAAGCAAAAAAAAAATTCAGAATAGGTTTGGTACATATTGAAGATAGATATGGAGATTCCTTATAAATTCCTTTCATGAATTTCTTATAGGAAACGGTATTCTGAGAATCCATTATGCTAAAGACGTGTTTGAAGGAAAATGAAAAACTTGAGGGAATTATTATCTTAATGAGCTCAGCGATCCGCTCGGCTAATGTGTTTGTAAAGTTATTCTTAACTATTTTACATAAAATTTATAGGTAGGTATCTATTATAATTTGATCTAATAATTAAAATATTAAAAAATTTGGATCATTCAAAAGCCCTGTACAATAATACATTTAAAATATTAAAATTTTAAGCTCAAACAGAGAAGAGTAGAATGAATTTAACTGAAGGCTTATAATGTACAGCCGTTCTTCATGCTTGAGGAAAATATGAATTCTATTCCCGAGTCATGTAATCCGCAAGTGATTACGTATTTAAAATGTTGGAGCGCGACGGGAACGGAATTTAGGTACAAAAATCCGTAACGTATCCAAAGGAAAATCGTTTAAACGTGCGCTGATTGAACTGATTTTACTATTTGTAGGTTACTCTGTCGGTATATTCCAATTTAAATTTGGTATATTATCGGAACCGAGTCGATGCGACGGTACCTGAGCGGAGATTGCATCGCTAGTTAAATCGATACTCGATATCTTCAAAGGCCATCCACTAGTTATTTGCTGTTGCCGTACCAAACAAATAAATTGGACTGCACTATGTAGGTTTACAGTAGTAGTCGAGAAAGTTTAATTGGATTCTTTCAGAATTAACTTTGACTTCTTTATAATGTTAATGTTCATAGTATCATTCATTTCAAACGTTAGTAAACTAGCTTATACCTAATTGCAAAAAAATTTGCTGTCATTACATAGGTATGTGGTGACGGCCTAAATTAGAACATCCTCATCTCTTTCCATGGGTGTCGTAAAAAGTAACTAAGGGATTTAGGTGGTAAGGGGTGACACTAATCTCTGAATAATATTTGTATTGTCAGTATTGCGATCACCAACGGGAATTTACTAGTAGTAAGACGTATCGTAATTTCGCACGAGTAAGTACCATAATCCTTTTTATCTCTGCCACTAAGTAGTAAGGCATTCCTTTTTGGAGGGTTCTTAGATTGGAACAGCTGCTATACAATACTATTGAGACTTCCGGTAAACCGGTAACCACTTAACATCAGGTGAGTCGTAAGCTTTTTCACTCTTTCTCTTCCTTTTTAATTTTATTTTTTAACGCGATACAGAAAAAATAAATTAGTAATATTTACTGGTTAAAGAAACATAAAAATCCAGACATCAAACCTCACAGAAAATGTACACTGTACTTTTCAGAGCCTCGAATCTGAACTGCCAAATGTGAACAAAGCTAGGCCCCTTCGTAGAGTAAATACTCCTTTCATATTCAAAATATTTTCTCGTTTGCTGCCTCAGATATTGCAGCTGTTGATTTTAACTTGTCCGCAGCGAACAAAGCTGGCTGGTGGTAAATTACGTAAATATTTTGCTGGGACATTGAGTGCGATATTAAATCGCGCGAGTAAGTCGATTACAGGGGCTATCTAGCGCGGCACGCTGCGCCGGATTACCCTGGATGATTGGAGTGGGCTTACGCCGAGCCTAACAAACTAACCTAAGTACTTTATCTCCTCTTTTTACACACTAATAGTATTTTCTGTGCGAAAGCTTTTGATGTTGGCACCGGCAATAGGTGTATTTTTATATCTATCGGTATATATTGTGCGAAAAATCTCAAAGTTTCAGAAAAAATTGCTGAGAAAGTGTATACTGACTTGTTGATAAATGATCATGGTGCGTATTATTTTATCTAGATCTGACTAATACCTGTTAAGTTATTAGCAAATTTTCATTTATTTATAAAGTATTCTTATAGGTTTTATTAGTTTAATTGGCAGACGAGCTTGTAGACCAATTGGTTTTATAATAATAATAATAATAATAACTAGAGGTCCCGCAGTAGTCGAAATTCGACTATAGTTAATTGGAATTGTAAGTTTGTATACTATTATGATTGTTTTTTTTTTATGACTGAAGGATTACTGGTGGCCCGGAGGCCTTTCCAGTTTCACCAGGACAGGGTTATGATTGTATTTTACTTCTATAATCACAAATTTCGCCAAGACTACACTATAAAAAATATTAACAAAGACAAACAATATTTAATCTCAATTTGACAACAGACGTGAAGAACAAAAGTTTGACAATAAATAGTATGCATGCGTGTGTGCGTCAAATACATGGTATGTAGTGTGTGTAATGTTTTCTTTATTAATTTAATGTATCTTTTATGCATTATTTTAAAAAGATATTAGCATTGTGCACTTCTCTATATTCTCTATAAGTGTGGAAAATTTCATACTCCTCGGTCCGCGCAATTTTCGTAAAAAGGGATACAAAGTTTTTGCTTCACGTATTAATATATAGATGACTTTATTTGACACCACATGTAAAGAGTAAGCATATAAAACAGATAATAGACGGTGACATAAATTGGCGGCCTTATCGCTGAAAACTGATCTCTTGCAGGCAACCTTGCAGTGAGAGGAATAAGCAAACTAGCATGGACGGTGCTATATCTTAATAAACTTACATAAAAATATATACTTATATACACATGTGAAAAATAAATACACTAGAAGATAGACTTACATACGATTAAATACAAATAAATACTAAAAATATGCAAGTAAATACAAAATAAAATAAGTAGCAACTTATACAGTAATATCGTAGGAGCCATATTATTGTGCATTGGTTTTATGCCATTCTCGGAGCCTGTGGGCCGTTCACAAAGCTAATTGCGGCATACACGTCCTTAAAACCTGCTACCCAAAGCTAATTGAATATTTATTTACTCTCGTTCGAATATATTATAAACAATATCATAATAATGACAACTAGATGATGCCCAGTTTTTTTTTATAACGCCATCTTGTTGTGTCTTTAAAGCGGTTAGTTGCCCTCAATTAAGAAAGATAGTATTATTTTTCGCCAATAGATGTCGGGAAGAGTTGATTATTCAAAACACGAATAAAACAACATTTTCTGAAAATAAATCGCAGTTAGATCGATTTATCGCCCCCGAAATCCCCTGTATACTAAATTTTATGAATGTCGTTGGAGCCGTTTCCGAGATTCAGGTTATACCTATATATATATATATTAATATACAAGAATTGCTCGTTTAAAGGTATAAGATTTGACCCTTTGTCTCATAGTTCATGTTAGATATGTGCACGAATCGTACATGTCATAATGTATTTATCTTTTATTATCCTGCTTTTATTCTTCCATTTTAATCAAGCGCTCTTCTTCGATTAGATAGTTCGGCTTTTTTCAATGGAATTAAGATTTCAATCTTATATTTCTAGATAGGTAAGTAGCAGCATGCACGTTGTAATGTATTGACTCCGGTAGCGGCTTAACATTAAATAGGTCGTGAGCTCACTCATCTCACCCATTTAAAACGAATGATCGAGTTTGCTCCAAGTGTGATAACCAGAGTCCAGAGACATCAAAAACGTAAATGCCGCCACACACCTTAAGACATGAGTTTTAACTGTTAGTGCTATATAATAATGGCTGCCCTACCCTACAAATCGGAACGCATTTCTGCTTCGTGCTAAAAATAGATGGGGTACCCAGAAGTGTGGCCTCACAAGACGCCCTACCACCAGTTTCGTCTATATAGACTATTATTTATTAACTTCAATTATGAAATGTTTAGTGAGAGAAGTGTGTGCATGTTGTCCATTTTTATTTAAAAAAAAACAAACGTAAAACAAAATTATTGAACATAGACAATCATCAGTGGCCACTGAAATAAAGTATCTATGTCCGTGGCCAAACGAATAGACTGTCATTTGTAATCGCATCGAGTGTTGTTACTATACTGGAAATCAAATAAATGAGTCGACTATTATCAAAGCCGGCAATCTGACTTTTGGACAATGATTGGTAAATCAGAAAAACGAATTATTGACTTTGTATTCCATTGGCAGTCACAAAACTCTTCGGAACGACATCTTAGATAAATAACAGGTTAACTATTAACCTTTATTTAATGCAGGTTTTGAACCGTATTCTTTGAAGGAGACGATTATATTCANTATTCCATTGGCAGTCACAAAACTCTTCGGAACGACATCTTAGATAAATAACAGGTTAACTATTAACCTTTATTTAATGCAGGTTTTGAACCGTATTCTTTGAAGGAGACGATTATATTCAAATCAATCTGTATTGTCATATCAATAAATTTTTTTTGTCCAAATGCACAGATTGCCACCTTTGATAATAGACGACTCAAATGCAAACAATTATCATTTTGTTTAAATAAATGCGCAGCCAATACGACGAAGCATTGCCTAACGCGAACATCGTGAATAAAAATGAAACTTGTGAAAATTTGTAAACTTTCACAAATATTGGTTAGCCCACGTGGTTACACCACCACCCTGCTTATTTGCTGCGAATGTCATGCGGGGAGGGCGGGGCAGCCGTTGTTGTCAAAAAAATTCTGAAATAATTGTACCCCTTAATGAATTTATTTCCACGTATTCTTATTAATATTACGGTCTATGTAAATTTTACAGTACAGAGTAAATCCTTAATTGACTTATCTTCGAGATATTTCATTAACTTAAGGAATACTTATAGGTTTTATAATTAAAATAAAAACCTACAGTGAATCATCCTTTCATGTTTAGGGACATTCTGGCTACAGGCTCATTTTAAGGAAATAAGTAAACATATTATACATGATTTATTGATTCGTATAGATAATTCACTCGATCCTAGTTATTACTGGTAGGACGTCTTGTGAGTCCGCGCGGGTAGGCACCACCGCCCTGCCTATTTCTGCCGTGAAGCAGTAATGCGTTTCGGTTTGAAGGGTGGGGCAGCAGTTGTAACTATACTTGAGACCTTAGAACTTATATTTCGAGGTGGGTGGCGCATTTACGTTGTAGATGTCTATGGGCTCCAGTAACCACTTAACGGGCTGTGAGCTCGTCCACCCATTTAAGCAATAAAAAAAAAATTGCATCGGTGTCGATAGAGTACAAATATGTACCATAACGTACCACCAAGCAGCCAGCTAGCTTTTATCGTGCTTGTGATACGATTGATACTTGTAGTAGATAGTACCTACATAAATAGCAAAAAATCAACAAGCATGTCGTTACATAATGAGGTAGTTGTTAATAACTGTAGTTGCTATCAAGTTTTTGAACGAATAGTAAAACGAAAAAAAGTGAATGGTTTGATCAAATGAAAGAATCGATTGATTCAAATTGATAAATGAGTCGACTATTATCAAAGCCGGCAATGTGACTTTTGGACAATTATTGGTAAATCAGAAAAACGAATTACTGATTTTGTATTCCATTGGCAGTCACAAAACTCTTCTGAACGACATCTTAGATAAATAACAGGTTAAGTGTTAACCTTTATTTAATGCAGGTTTTGAACCGTAGGTATTCTTTGAAGGAGACGATTATATTCAAATCAATCTGTATCGACATATCAATAACATTTTTTTGTCCAAATGCACAGATTGCCACCTTTGATAATAGACGACTCAAATATTTGAGGTCAATAAAACCAAACAAACTGTTGCAACGCTTTAATATTACTTTATTTAAGGTTTTGTAACTTTCGTACTTGTCCTATATTAATACACGTTTATAATTATTCTACCCAAATATAGGTAAGCTTTATAATCGGTATATACGTTATAAAATATCTCATGCTCCATAAGTAAACATTAGTAAATAATGTAATATATTATTATATACCTAACTTACGTAGGTATTGGTACAGTATAACAAAATTAATAAAATTGTCCGTCAAACAAGCGCAAATTTAACAGAAATCGATTTTACAATGCAATATTGGTAAATTTGTCAAAGGTGTGCAAGTATTAAGTAAGTGTTTAAAGATATATTAATGTTGCCTGCACAGTAAAACCGGTGGTTTTCCGGTCGCGGGTCATTGCGATTACGCACGGGCGGCGTGGCGTTGCACATACAATTTTTCCAAAGCCGTCTCACGCAGCTTTACATGGCAGATGTTTGTGTGCCATGCGCGGATTTTCGCTTTATATGACCTATTTTAAATTATATATTAAAAAAAAAGTTGGCGTGAATGGGCAAACTAACCCCATTTTTGCCCTGTTCCTCAAATGTTTCATTTAGCAAAATTATTACCAAAGTACATTGGGTAGTACATCGTTAAACGCATTCTCTTCCAGCCTAATGATGATAGTTTATAGCTACATGACCTAATAAAATACAACAATGTCTATTTTACCAATTTCTTAATTTCATCTTCATACTACAAAGAAAACAATTGAACAAAGGTGAATTATAATTTTGGTCTAAGTTAAAGAAATATTGCAAAAATTATTAAATTATTATATTAAATTATTATTAGTACAATGTAATTGTTAATTAATATAACATCAATATTATGTATAAATATTTATTGAACGGGCGAGCAAATATGGTAGGTACTATGATTACCCATGTCCTCTTCTTTACATAGTCAGTCCGGAATCAGGCTGCGAAAACATCCTAGGCAGTCTCTACTCCGTCAACTATAAGCGAAGTAAGCCACCCCTTCTTAATATGGTAACACTTTACGAACCTTGTATACTCCTGATCGTTACTTACGCGAGTGCCCACTGAGTTTCTCGCCAGTGGTTATCAATGGGGCACGATTCCGATCCGATGGCTTGTTCTAGGACTAGTGTTAGCAATTTGTTTCCGGCAGAGCCCGTGAGCTCACCTATACCTACGTCCGGACGTAACTGGAATGATCCCCTGGCAAATAGGTAAGGAAAAGAAAAAAGAACGCGAGTTTGGTACTCGGTCACGCAGCCGGAACCCACATAAACTCTCAAAACTCTTCAATTTCGCTTCTTTAAGTTAGCCGTCGGAACACGGTCAACTTAGTAGGTACGTGAAGGAAGAAAATTACACGATGTTCTAGATATTATTTTCCCTAGCTAATCGCTGGTTGCCTGGGGGGCTATGCCAGCTAAGCTCGGAAGGGTGTTCTAGATCTCTAATACATCCGTAACCACATAAAACGTCAGAATGCTATTTCATGACGACATACCATACATGTCGCGACCGTCGATCTTTTTTTTAAAAAAAGGCAGGATTACTGGTGGCCCGGTTATTTTCGTTTTTTTTTTATTGCTTAGATGGATGGACGAGCTCGCAGCCCACCTGGTGTAAGTGGTTACTGGAGCCCACCAGTAAAAAGTTTCAGTTTCACTAGGACAGGTGAGACACGTTGACCTAGTCCACGCAGCAAACTGGAATATTGAATGTTTTATCTAGGATAGTGCAATCAACCAGTACAGTCTTACAACATAATATCTTCTACAAAGAATAGCTCGATTCCAGAGTACTTAATTATTGTTGTACTATACCGAGAATTATTATCTCGTTATACATTTTGAAGTATACAGGAATTTAAATTAACTACTGATAAGACTAACCATATAATTGTTTTGATTCAGTCTGACGCCATGACGTCATAAAATGTAATTGTTGATATCAACACTTTTTTTTTCCAATACTTGGAAGGCAGAACATCGGCTAGGTATACTTATTTATTAACATCGAAGGTAGATTTTATTACGGCTCTCTAGGTAACAAGTGATTACTGTCGCTTATGAAGCTCAGCAATGTCAGTGGTACAGCACAGCCGCTGCCTGCAGCAGAGGACTCCTTTCAAATATTTTTCAGACATCATAGCATTCGGAAAAATAGTACTGTGGCATTCTTTTCAGATTAATTATATGTGACAATAACCTTTTCTAAATATAAACAACTGCATCAACTTTCATGGCTNTCTCTAGGTAACAAGTGATTACTGTCGCTTATGAAGCTCAGCAATGTCAGTGGTACAGCACAGCCGCTGCCTGCAGCAGAGGACTCCTTTCAAATATTTTTCAGACATCATAGCATTCGGAAAAATAGTACTGTGGCATTCTTTTCAGATTAATTATATGTGACAATAACCTTTTCTAAATATAAACAACTGCATCAACTTTCATGGCTCCAACGGTCTCGGCATCAATTAATCTTATTTGTATTCGAAATGAGTCGAGTTTTGAAGTCGTCGTGGCCTAAAGGATAAGACGTCCGGTGCATTCGTATGTAGCGATGCACCGGTGTTCGAATCTCGCAGGCGGGTACCAATTTTTCTAATGAAATACGTACTCAACAAATTGTTTACGATTGGCTTCCACGCTGAAGGAATAACATCGTGTAATAAAAATCAAACCCGCAAAATTATAATTTGCGTAATCACGGGTGGTAGGACCTCTTGGGAGTCCGCACGGGTAGGTACCACCACCCCGCCCATTTCCGCCGTAAAGCAGCAATGCGTTTCGGTTCGAAGGGTGGGGTAGCCGTTGTAACTATACTGAGATCTTAGAACTTGTATCTCGAGGTGGGTAGCGCATTTACGTTGTAGATGTTTATGGGCTCCAGTAACCACTTAACACCAGGTGGGCTGTGAGCTCGTCCATTCATCAAAGCAATAAAAAAAAACTCAAACATCTGCTTTAAAATACATGGATAGATTACTAAGTCAGTGAAATCATGAAGAAAAAAAAACAATATTCTAATGTGAATAATAAAAATAATAGGTTGATCATTGTGGACAAGTGCACTCTGTTTTGAAATTTACCATACTTTTTTAAAGCAGCCTAACTGATTTTTTTTACATTAGAAACATGATGACTCTCCTTCTGTAAAAATAGCTTTCATATGAGTTTGTGTGTAGTTATTTTTCCTTTTAAGTCTTAATATTAAGAGTGCAATTTAATTCGTTATTAAAATAAAACCCCCTAAACGTTATCTATAATATTATTATATTAGAAATAATTACATTTTAAAGTATCATGCCCTTGCAGTCCTTGCCCATTGTTGAGATGTAGAAATTAAAAAAAAAACCAAATTAATTGTTTGCTTCTAATAAGGACTATTTGTTTGATATTTAAATTATCTTTGATCTTACATACTCTGTAATAAATATTTTTTTCATTTTTAAAGAGGAAATTTAACTCATTTTTACTAAATTTCAAAGTTGTTTGTTTATTATTGCATTATATTTTTTGTGAAAACAAATGAAATTAAGGACATTTTCAATATTATAAAAAAAAACATGGGTCATGTGTCACATTTATTGTAATTTTAATGGTGGCATTTAAATTAAAGAGCATCAACTTAAGAGATAACAAAATTATTCACAAACTTCTTTTGTATTGTACATTATTAATACCCAATAAGTCAAGATATGTATCTCGATATTAGAAGCACAAAGTCACATAAATATCTTTCATTTAGATTTTAGTGTTTTTTTTGTAAGTATAGTAGTAAGTAGTAGTCTCAGTAGTGTACAAAAACACACTAATGGGAAGTGAGACTGAAGGAGCTTGGTAGAGTTTTTTACTATTGGTAATACTAGTGTCTTAGAAAACTTCAAATCTACCTACTAAAGATTGTTTTTTTTTTCATAATTTGTTTAACAATCTTATCGTAATCTTGTTACACAGATATCTGCCATACAGACATCAAATTACATGTCGAAATAACGAAATAATAATTATGAGACCTTAAGCCCTAATTCCGAGATATAACAAATAATTTTCTATAAAATACACACTGTCTATAATCACCATTCCGCATCACCATTAGCCTTTTGGAATACATAATCCTTTCCAGCTAGATTCATGATTCCATCTTTGAGATAGAACTTCCACCTATTGCGACTGCGTGTAATTTTATCATATTGGCAAACAACTACATTATCAGTATCAAACATGTCCCCTGGCTCCTCATCAGATACATCATCACCGGAATTTAGGGGTTCTTCTTCAGCACCACCACTTTCATTTTGTTCTTCTTCTTCTTCTTCTGCCCGCTCTTCGGGAGAATCGTCATCATCATCATCATCTGCTGCACCGTCTTCTGAACCATCACCTACGTTTGAGCCATCATCATCAGAAGAGTCCAAAGCACCATCTAAAGAGAAAGGAGCAGTTCCACTGCGGCCGCCTCCGCCGCTATCAAAATCACTTTTTTGTCCTGCTAAAGCCGAGTTGATATGTTGTTGCAGTAAAGTAGCAGCTAGAGGTTGTGGAAGGCTAATGGTAGCATTTATTATAGGACCTGTTAAGACCTGATGCAGTTTGTTGCCGTTCAGAGCTGATGCTGGAATTTGAATGGTAAATGAACGAGGCTGGGACCCTGGAACTCCAGGTTGAGCAGGTAATGTAAGCTGAACTGGCACTTTATTATTAGGGTCTAGAATATGATGAGTATGCGTTCCAGCTACACTAGATGCTGGTGCACTATGTTCTTGTTGCCCCGAAGTATGTCCCATGTCAGTTCTTTTATGCACTACATTACTACCATTTACTTTTTGGAAATTCTGTAACACTGGAGGAGGTGGCAGCATCGGCTCAGGTTGTAACGGGTCCGTGGCTCCACTGGCTTGAAGCTTTGTCTTCCATAGTTGTTTTAGTTCTTGTAACACTTGTTCGTCTACACCGTCATCTAAGAAAGAATTTCTCACTCCGGATATCACGTCGTCTACCACTATGTTGTAAAGTTTCAATACTGCGAGCTGACTCGTTGTCATTTTGCAATCGAGCTGTAGTTGAAAATTGTTTAACAGTGTAAAATGTTCACAGAACTAGATATTCTTGTTTCTAAATCTGTTTAGTTTAGTTTAGAGCCGATTATTTGTCTTCTGAGTTCACATCGCAACATTTCAATGTCAAATTTCTGGAATTCACACAGTTTGTTAATTCACTAATGTTGATGACCAATTTTATATATTTAAGATAATATGTGGCTAAAGTAGCTTATTTTAACTTTTATGACGTCCATTTACATAAAGAGAGACAAATTTATAAATTCACCATAAAAATTTTGACAATTGATCACTCAAACATAACCTACAAACCGAGGAAATATTTCGTAGCCTTTATAGAAATAATTGTCTATGGTTCGTTGATTCCGACATTGAACGACGACAAAGATGGCGCATGCGTTATGAGTACGAGAAATAGCACCGCCCCGCACCGCGCCCCGGTTGATTACGTATTGGTGAGTTTGCGCCTTGGGTAGTTGCCTTTAAATTGATTTTACGGTTTGAAAGGAAAGAGCCACCACTTTAAAATTTCAAAACAAAATTGGCATATCTAAAATTTATTGTTATAACATTGAATGATGAAATTTAAAAATGTAGAATTTTCACAAAAAACAGTATTCATTCAAAACAATTCGTTACAAGCCAATTTTAATGAAATTCATTTCTACTTAAACCATTGTTAAATAATATTGACTAAATAATATTTATATTTTATTTATATTAAACTATTGCACTGTTGAGTACAAGCAACGCAACACTCAATTTTATCTTGTACTATGAAAACTTAAAGACTTCATTCTTAATAAAACCGCATAATAGGACGTTTATGAAACAAGAGTAACTATAAAATTAATTGTTATTTTAGATAGATTTTTCAGTTTTTCAGTGGTTGTAAAAAATGTTGATTAAAATTGGTGGCATAGACAATAATTGAATTTTAGTATTTTTGTGGCGGGAAATCCAAATGTTGGAAAGAACTTTTCGTCTTTGTCGAAGCTTTTCATTTTTTTTGTAACGAATGACGTTGAAGTTTTTATATTTAAAATAGGGGCTTAAACTTATATAGTTGAAAAGGTAGTGTATAATAATATGCTTTCGTTATTAATTTGACATCAATCATCATCAATTCATTTGACTCAATACATTTCTTTCTGTGACAGATTTTTAAAGCACGACAATTGGTAAGAAGGTATTCTAATGGAACATTCTTATATATTCTGACTTCAATATAATATTAAAAATTTATAAATATCAAAATATGAGGGTTACAGTACTCATTTACCTCAATTTTCTTTTAGTAAATATTGTAACGAACAAAATCGATACCAATGCCGAATGAAACACGGTTTTTTCAGTTTATCAAATCAAACTTCTCTTGATAACACAATACAGCACATTTACCGTAAATTAATTAAAGGTAAATTAAAAGCACAGCTAGTTATTTCGGGGAAATAACGTCATCTGTCAGTGATTGGTGTGTATCTGTATAGTCCGCGGTCGACGCGGTCTAGTGGGGACCGTGTTGGTTTGTTCGTCGGCTAGCTATTTGCAGCAGATCGATACGTTCCAGAATATCATTACTCGCTCACCTGAAGTCTAAATTAACGTAGGATCAAACTAAAATTTGTTTACTATTCACTATGTGTTCGCTATTAATGTAGAATTTTGGTTTTATGGCAGTTCAAAAACCATCTCTTGTCGAAATTTGCAACATTTCGAAAGTTTCTGTTTTTAATGATTTAATATACATTATTATTTTTTTAAATATTTAATAAGTAAAATTTTCCAACTATGTACAAGTTAGCAAAATTATTTGGGTCAATGATAATAGAAATTTATGTTAACTACAATTAAAATTACAATGCTAACTAAGAATACCGTTATACCTAATTTACATTGCTATTAATAACTGTGTTATATCAATCAAGGATAAGTACTAGAATTTTTAAGTGTCATAAATTGTATAATTAATAACTTTTTAAGTTGGTAAAGGTTTTAAGTTGTCCTTCTTTAAATGAGGTTAGAGGAGAGTACTTAGCATTAGGCAGCGACTTGAATATGACATTGGTATTGCTGATGTGCACGAGGAACAACGATGTTATTTCTTCCGCGGTGAAGGAATAATATCGTGTAATAAAAATCAAACCCGCAAAATTATAATTTGCGTAATTACGGGTGGTAGGACCTCTTGTGAGTCCACATGGGTAGGTACCACCACCCTGCCTATTTCTACCGTGAAGCAGTAATGCGTTTCGGTTTGAAGGGTGAGGTAGCCGTTGTAACTATAATGAGAACTTAGAATTTATATCTCAAGGTGGGTGGCGCATTTACGTTGTAGATGTCTATGGGCTCCAGTAACCACTTAACACCAGGTGGGCTGTGAACCCGTCCAACAATCTAAGCAGTAAAAAAAAACATCTGCCTCCAAAGGGAATAAAAAAAGATGTTAGACTATCCGTTTTTGCTAACGTCAACAAAGATAAAATACATCCTACGCTAATATACATCGAAACAGACTATCCTATTCAACCTAGTATTTCTAGGAAAATGTCGCAGTGAACAATGATACCGCTCATAGGGTTATCCCTAAATCTCAATGTAATTAATTACCGCAGCATTTAAGTATTGCAACCAAAAAGTCTATATGACAGGCATATCTTCGATAGAGTTCGAATGGTTACAAATTTAGTCTTATCGTACGAATGATAAATCTCAAAGCGAACACCTGAGTTAGCAAAATTCTAAATATAACAATATAAGATCGGAGTCATGAAATTAAACTCGCGATTTCCTCATCTGTTACAAATCAGAATCAAGTTTACCCTATACCTACACAATTTCACAAATATACAAGTCGTAATATATATTTATCCTCCATATTCCATTTCGCAAATGGAGTAAATTTTACCCATGAGAACGCAAATTCCATCTCTCGATTCGCTGTTGTGCCGATAACTGTCAGCTATGTTTATATACTACGGTGAACATCATCAACCGATCGCAGTTACGATTTTTGAACTTATTTTTGTGACTTAGCTTTAACGTGTGAACAAGCTCGCGGCTCACCTAGTGTTAAGTGATTAACAGAACCCAATGACATCATAATGCCGTGACCTCGTCGCAAAAATAGGAAAGGACTTGTCGCTGCCTGGCGTGGTGGCGTCGATGCTTGATGGCGACGAGTCCTGGAAAGCCAAGCTCGACTTCTGCGAGTGCACCATCTCGCAGAAGGAGGCGGAGGGGCGCGTGAGAGACGCACAAGCCCGCCGCCGTCGAGTGGGGGCCAGGGAGGCGGACTTCGCCCAAGCCCTGGCCCTCTAATTGTTTCGGGTCTCCCTCACATGTCGGTCTGGGGCCCGGCGAAGGGGGCCTAAGAAGACGACCACCGGTTCGGCGTCCCGAGGGGGAGGGTATTGGGAGAGATGTGCTCCGCACTAAACGCTTTGCTTTCCCCCCTTTGCCTTTTCATGAGTTCTGTCTCATGCGAGGTTCGGACGTGGGTTGTTGAGCGACAGGAAGTTTTAGTCAGTTCGACTCCGACATGCCTCGCCCTCCTATCCCCGGGGGAGGGCGGAAGACCTGAGATTTCCTACTGACTAAAAAAAAAACCGCACATGTAGACAGAAGGACTTTGTTAGTACAGAGTAATGTACATTGTACTTAAAACTGAGAAATAAGAAGTAACAAGAACGTTTGGTTTAAAATACTATTTATTCAATAGTATTTTGCATAAAAAACTTTCGCATTGAGAAAATTGCATCGTTGAATAAATACGGCCTGAAGCATAACAACAATTTGACCTAGTTTATGGAGTACCAAGTATTTTCAATAATAGGTGATGTAGATTTCATTGTGTTCATTTCCCGCGCTTCATTTAACAGGATAAAGGTCGACTTTGCTAGAAGTGACGTAAGCTAAACTGGAACTAAATTATTAGACTAGAATCGTTTTACCTAAGTAAAAATTAGCATCGCGTTTTTACATTTAGATATTTGTAAAAAAAAGGATATGTTTTGTGTATATGTATTTCGGTTCACGGTAATTTCAAACTTTCAGTTGACAACAATACACATTTATTTAGAGTTTATGTATTCTGTATCGCCTGAGCGAAAGACGTTCGGTCGGATGAACGGAGATCTCTTCTGTCGGAGGAAAATAGCCTAAATAAACAAGACAATAATCAAAACATGTTATAAAAAATAGGAACTAACGTTACCTTGAAATAACAACCTTTTCTGAGTTTATTTATAATAATAAAATTAAACGCCCGGTACGTGCTACGGGAATATCACTGGTGAATCATAAAGATTATAAACAATATCACATAAAATATACCGGTAACATGTTACACGGCGAACATAATTAAATGCGATCACATAATTTGTCAAAGAGAGTACCGCTTTTACTTTTAATAAATAGAGAATGTCACTTGAAAATGAATGATGGCTTTTGGGCTCATATCCTTCCTTTAGGAAAGGTCGGAACCATGTATCAAAGACGTTGATGAATTGACTTGATGTTTGTAAAATTCGCTTACATATTCATCTAATATATGTAAAAGGTGAAAAATAAATTTGAGTACAGGTTGATCATTAAAAACATAATTGCCTGTTTTTGCAGAAAAGATTCTAAAATATCTCAAAACGCAATCACGTAAGTTATTTTATTTCCGAACTTAAATTATTACGACCCGCTTTCACCGATGTTTCTTGAACCAACGGACTTCTCCGTTAAATAAATTTCAGTGCCAAAAATCAGTAGATAAGTTCTAGTATTCACTAATTTATAGTAGGATTCATATTTCGATTGGGCGAGTATTATACGAGTGTGTCTCCAAACAACATTAAGACGGACCCAGGATTTCTATTTACCGTCTCCAAAATGTCCACATTGGTATTCCTTTTCCTTTACTGTACCATATTCAGTTCTTCGTCCCCACACAACGTCGAAGTCCACCATTCCGTGTCTAAAACGTATTAAAAATTGTTACCGCCCAATTTTGTATCTGTTTATTTTTTAGGTTAGACAAATTCACGCTCACGATACATTAGGCCATAAGAATGAGGAAGTCTAAATTGCGCTCCAACTGTTATCCTACGCTTTAAGCTAAAATGATTTGATACGTAAATAGGGTAGGTAAGTGTGTACGGGCGGATGACGATCACAAGAGTTTTGAATTTATAAACTAAAACCCTATAATGCAAGTGATCGAGGATAAGACGTTAATTTGTGCTCCGAGTTATAATGGAATGGAATATTTTAGCTTTCACACGTTCTATAACTAAATTTGGTTAGAGGTAACGACGTTTATAAAAGGCTACAGGAGATTCGA